TTATTGTGTGGCTGTTATCCAAAGCAACCAGAGACGGGTCCTTACCTGTATCTTGTGATACCTTAATTGTTAGCAGCCCTGCGCCAAGGGCATGGTTCATTGCACCTCATTGTATGAGCAAGGCCTTGGGCATAGCAACTAGGCTGGAGAGGAAGCTGGGGGGTAGGGGGGGGAGAAAACAGTTAAAGTATGCTATCTGAGGCACTGCTGGGTGGCAGACTTGTACAAAAGAGTTGGTTTGCTTACCAGTATGTGGTTTAATGTTCCAAGTAGAGTTTGAGCTCAGTTGACACACGTGCATGTAATTTGATTTTAACTTTCACTCTCCCAGAACAATAGGTAAAACTTGTTTTGAAGAAAGTGAAGTGCCAAGGTAGTTGTGTGCTTTTGCAACCAGTCCTGTGCATCCCAAACACGTATGGACTTGATGGATGACGTGTTAGAAGTGAACAGAAAACTTCTGAGAACACCTTTAGCCAGAAAATACTGATCAATCAGAACAAACTTGAGAACATTTATTGTTCTCTTAAGATTCCATTTTAACAGAGTGCTTTAAAATTCCATTTTTCCTATCACTCTAATTGTTTGTTTCATGTATTTTTTCCCACAATTTTGCTGTTTTCACATCAGATTCTCTTGAATCTAGTAAGTAGCTGAACTGCAAATAATCATTTTTATCTAGAAGACTGGATTTCAGCATTGTCTGAACAAAGTTGGGGCCCTAATATTCAGGAGGTGATGCTATGAATGAAGCAAAGGAGAAAACAAATTAGCCCAAGCTAAAGCAGCACCTGACATATGTAACTAAGTTTGGCTGGGTACTGTTACTGTTCTCTGTAATACTGTAATCCTATTTGCATTAAAGAAATTGATGAGATTTTACAGTTGTAGGATTAATCACTGTGACCCAAACTGTCAGAATTTTAGGCAAAAGATGGCATTAGTCACACCACTACTTCTCTTTACAATAGAATTTCTTTTATTCTGACCAATTATAAATGAAGGGCAAAAGCAGAAAACATAGTGAAAATGCAGAAAGTGTTGAAAGGAGATGAGTACAATCAGAGAAATAATTCTCTATTTAATGTACAGGTTTTATCCGCCTGGCTTTTTTTCTCCTCCTGTAATATATTGGGTCTTCTGCTTCATTTATCAAAATTGATTCTACTAATGCTCTGACTCTGTTCTGACTATATGGAAGTTGTTTTGTATGAAGAGGTTTCTTCCTTAACATGCAAATCACCACTGTACATGATTTCAAGAGCAATCTGGGAATCTTTTTGGTGATTTTTACATGATCTCTGGGCATTATATGTTGACTAGTTGCCTAACTCTAATTTCTTTTAAATTGCCTTTTTCTTTCAAATACTTTTGTAGTAACTCTTGCTCCTATGGTTCTTAAAACAGCATCCTGCTTTGTGAAGTTCTGACTGTACTAAAATGCACAAAGTTTTGGCACTAACTGCATGCATCGTGCTCTCTCCTTGTGACTTTCCTTCTGTTCTCTTGAAGTTGGAAAGAGTAAAGTTGAGGTGATTTGTTTGGTGCTTTCTTTTATAACCTATATAACACGTGTATGTAAGCTATTACAGCGCAACAATATTCTGCAGAATAACAAAACAGTCTGTACTTTCTGAAAAATCCTCTGTGGAAGCATGCATCCTTCTTGTGATGCCTTGTGTGACCACATGTTTCTCTTCTTGCAGAAATAATTGTTATATGTAGTGGCTTTTTATTATTTTTACTGAATTCTGCCTTCTTTCCTTTCTACTAAGGCTATTACTAGGAAGTGGGGAAGTAAGCAACTGTGAAGCGGCTTCCAAAAAAGGTCTGGTTGTTCTTGAGAAGGGCTCTTGAGGAATCTCTTGTGAGGACTATTGAGTCCCGACTCTGCCTCACATCCTCTGTACCAAGAGGTAATATTCAAATGAAAATATCTGCTATAGCTCTAAGCACAAATGAAAGATTATCTTCTCTAAGTCTAAAATATCCTTCCATTTTAGTAACTGATTTTAAAAAGACGGATGATGTAGTCACATTTCTCATTTCTGAAAGTCTTTTTGTACAACCAGGTTGTCATATTTGCTGCTAAGCATCTGCTTTGTGAAAGATACAAATAGGTAGGTAAAGGCAAGAAGTGATACCATGTTCAGTAGGACTCCCCCAGAGATGCAATCTCTTTGAAACTTAGCAATGCAACAGGCATATTGAAATGTTTAGCCTACTTTATGCCAGTGTCACGTATTTGTGAAGGCTTTCTTTAGTTTCAGATTTTTTGTTAATGTCAAGGTTATGAAGTTTTGAAATAAGTTTTGCTCAGCCTCAGAAGTAGCGGAGGTGGGACTATTTGCTTTACTTCCCTAGTAAGGTACTTCATTACATATAAAAATTGCACAGGAGTAAGCTGCAGCTCTTGTACAGCTTCTCCAAAGAGAAGCCATGCATTTTAATTTAAGCTTATAACTTCTGAATGTGATGCTTAGTTAAAAAATATTGCCACTATCAGTGAGATACAGAAACCAAATCTCTGAGTCTTATCATTTAACAATATCAACAGACCAAGTAAATACCTTGGGTTTTTTGTTTGTTTTTTTTCTTCTACTATTTACAATTATAATAAACCTCACTCCACCGATTGATTTTATCTCTAAAAGCCTGCACAGGTAAACACAGTAAAACTGTGTTGGTGGTGCTGAGGTGTGTAAGGCAAACGTAGCACATTTCCTGACAGCGATACCACAAATGGGTATACTTAACTTAATCACTTCAGTCTCTCAGCATGTTAATTTGGGCTTGGGGTTAATCTAATTATCATCAAGATGTTTCGTCTTGTTTTTTATTTTTTTCTGAAGCTAAAAGATATCTTATGCCAGTGAATACACTGTATTTTTTAATTCAACTGTGCTTAAACACTCAAGGTGAGCAACTGCATGACCAACTGCATCTTTGCACTGTTCCTATTCCACTCAAATTTTTCCACCAATGAGGAGAGTGCCTTATTATTTTTTTTTTACAAGAAATTGTTATTTAAAATAAAAGCACCTTAATTTTAAAAATGAATGTAAAAGAAGAAAAGGAGCTTAAAACAATAAAAGGTGTCCTACCTGTGGTATCTGTTATCCATCTTTTCATTTTCCACGTCAGGGTTCCAGTCCTGAAGCCCCATATTTGCTCAGTCCCAAGTACAAAGAAAATCCTTAAAAAAGGCTGCTCTCTCAAGAGATTAAATCACCACACAACCTTTGTAATACTTTAATTTAGTGAAGATTTCACGTTTTTATTAGATTTGACAAAACTTGCAATTTTTGATGCCCAGTGATAGTAGTACACTTCATTGTCTCTCAGGAATATGCCATGTGTTCTCTACCTGTATGAATGTAATGATCTCTGTACCCAGAAGGCCAACACAACACTAACATGGCAGTGGATCATTCTTTGTGATTGTTCTTCCCGTTCCTTTGATCAGTCGATACTATGGATATGAGCAGGTAAAGGCTTGTGCTCCTACTGTGCTTATTCAAGCTACCTCAGAAAATGGTGGATAGAAATGGGATGCTCAGTCCATTCTGCTGCCCCTGCTAGGACAGCACTGATGTTGGGCTATCTGCTTTCTGACTGGCAGAGCAAGGCAATAAATTTATTTTCCTCTAACAAAAACTGTCAATAATATTAAAGGTACAGTGGCATTTCCTACAGATGCATGTGGTTACCTTTTGCACTTGGTACAGTTGGGTAAATCTGGTGTTTAGTCTTCCCCTTTTTAGCTGTCTATTGTCTTCTAGCATCACTACTAATTTTGACTGCCAAATGCCAGTGTGCTCTGAAGACTAATGAAGAGGGGAATAAAAACAACCCTGCAATATGAGTTACATGTTGCCTATGAGCAACAATACATAGGAAAAACAAAGAGGAAGTTTGGATCTCCCTCATCCTCAGCTGTTGGTGTGTGGTGCAATGTGGCTCCTCTCTCAAAAACCAGGACCCAGGCCCAAGGTGCAAACGCAGCCCGGGCCCTGAGCAGGGATGCAGCTTACAGCGGGTGTGCCACTGCCTGTTGTTAAGGGAGTTGTGGAACCACCCATATCTGAATTCCTATCGCACTTGTGCTGCAACGTAATTAGTGGGAAAGGGGGGGGCAAAGAATGATAGGTAGTAATATCTCGCTAATCTACTTTCTAAAATAAAATACACGCATCACGTCTTTCACTGGAGAGAAAATGTGGTACTATACAAATATGTTCTGCAGAGCTGAGTGCCAACACCCCACTATTCTGAGGTAGGATTCAGCACCGTGCTTATTTCTACAGAAGGTTTTGATCGTGAGCGCTCCGACACCGAAAACAACACAACTCTGCTCTGCACTCGAGTTGAAGATCTGCGTCTGTGTTCCACACACGGCTCCCTCGAAGGCAGGGCGCGGGAAAGCGCAGAGAAGTTGCTGAGGAGAGAACCTGTAACGACAGAGGCGCCCTCTTTCGGCAACGTGCAGTACTGTTTCGTGCTCTCACGGCACGAGGACGCCAACTTCGGGTTCCTGCAGCAGCCCCGAGGTGCTGCGGCACTGCACGGCGCCCGCCGGAGCACTCACACCCGCGGGCTCCTGACAGCTGCCCGAGCCCTCAGCCAGGCAGCGGCGGGGCGGGGAGGCCGCCCCCCTGCGGGCCGGAGGCCGCGGGGCAGCGACAGGTGCCGGCTCGGCGCGTGTGGGCGTCGGCCGAAGGGAGCTTCTCTCAGGGGCGCCTCGTAGAGAGCGGGGACCGAGGCGGCGGGGCGAGCGTGGTGCCGCCGCCCCCTCGGCAGGCTAGCGGCGGGCGGGCGGGCAGGAGGCGCTTGGCGGTGTCCCTGCGCCCCTCTCCGACGCGCTCGGGGCGGGGGAACGAAGGGGATATGAAACTCGCCGCGGCCCGTGTGGCGCTGAGGGGCTGCGAGGTGCGGGCGGCGCCGCGATGCCTGGCGGCGGGAGGGCCCCGACGTAGCGGCGCGGTGCCGCGGGGCGGAGGATGGCGTGCGGCGGCGGCGGCTGCTGCTGCTCGGGCGCGGGGCGACTGAACGCGGACAACGCGCGGTTCCTGCTGCTGGCGGTGCTGATCGCGCTGTACATGCTGTGCGGCGCGGCCGTCTTCTCGGCCATCGAGCTGCCCGGCGAGCGGCGGGCCAAGCAGCGCTGGGAGGAGCGGCTGCAGAACTTCACCCGCCGCCACAACCTCAGCCGCGCCGAGCTCCGCGACTTCCTCCGCGAGTATGAGGAGGCGAGCGTGGCCGGCATCCGCGTCGATGACATCCGGCCCCGCTGGGACTTCACCGGCGCTTTCTACTTCGTGGGCACCGTCGTTTCCACGATCGGTGAGTGCCGGCGAGCGGCTTCTCCCCGCCGCGTGGCGGTGCGGGTCGGACGGGGCGGGCGGCGGCCGCTCCTCGGGGCTCGGTGTTGGTGTCGGCCAACAGGTGCGTGTGTAGCGCTGCCCCGCCAGCGAACCGAGCGGGGTCGGGCCGAAGAGCTCCGGGGGGGGGGGGGCATGGGGGAACGCGAAGACGCGGAAGAGGGAAGCGCGGCGGTGGAAGGGGCTGGCTGCAGCGCTCGGGGGCTGTCGGCAGAGGGGCTGCGTGCGGGCGGCGGTCTGCGCGGTTACCGCCGCGGTAAGCGTGGCTGCCGCTTTTTGTTAACAGCATTTCCAATTCAAATCTGTTTCCCTCCACACAAGAAGCGCTCTGAGGGGTGGCAGCAATTCTTCCAGCAGTCTCTGTTACCGCGTGCTCCCTGGCTGCAGGCGGGACGCCTCACCCTACGTACTGTGGGCGAGCGTTGGCCCGGCCAGGTGTTACAGCTGGGTACTGCCCGTGGTTCTGCCCAGCCTTCCTCGGCACCGGGTTCCTTAAGCTGGAGATAATTTGGTGGTGAATGATGCAGTCAGGTTGGCTTTGTGCTACTCAGGGCCGTCACATCTTCGGTCTGGAAGACCTCAGAAGCATCCTTACATGTTTTGCTGAGCTACTGCTTTAAAATGACTTTATAACGTTGTTCAGTCGGTATTTGAGAACTGTGTTTGAGAAATCTCCCGTAATATTTGTTCGGTGTATGACTGAAGTATGTTAGTGAGCCTAATGGTTTCTATTGCAATAGAATCACAGGGAACAGAGCTGGGACCACATGTTCCCTGCTCCACCTCTGCTCCAAGGGGAGGCACCCATTGTGCAGTTACTTCCCCACAGGTGTTTGAACAAGCTGGTGTTTTAGAACTTGAAATGTTGGAGATCCCACAAGGAATCAAACTCAGTGCATCATCACGCTCATAAGAAAAACACTTTTTCCCATTATGTACCTTACTGAAACTCAGCGATTTCCCATGTTTTTGTCCTGTTCTCTTTAAACACAGAGAACGCCTTTTTTTTTTTTTTTTTTTTTTTTTGTGCACAAGGGCTGTAGCAATGTGTCCTTTCTGTCTTTTCCCAATCCGGAGAACCACAGTATTATAAAAGCGCTTAACATTGATGCAGTTAATCATCACCTGTAATACTTGGTGCCAGTTGTTCTGAGTGTTAATATTTATTTTTTCTTGTATACAGAGATTGTTAAGGGAAGCAGAGTCTCTGTGGTCTCATTAGCTGTAATTACTTTAAGGATAAGCACCACTTAGCCACTCACACTTCCTAGTAATTCCTCTGATTTGCTGATTGCCATTGCCTACAATTTAGCACTGTGTTTCTGCAGATGATGCCATGGAGAACCATTTTCCTTCACATTGTATATAGTCAGTACTCTGAAGTTTTACATCCTGTGCCTTCTTTTGGCCTGGCTTTGCTCTCAGTCTCACCAGTGGTGTTGTTTTCCCAGTTTTATCAGTTTCATCATTCTTTCTTAGTCCTGTCAGTGCTGACTATCTTATCATTGGCATCACTCTTCCTTAACCTTCCCAGAAGTGTGGCTGTTCTGTGAGGCTAGCTGTGTGTTCCATCACTTAGCCTGTGGCAGGCAGGACTCTCCGGGTGATTTTTGTCACTTCCCCAAGGCTGCACCACACAGGTGCTTTCTCCTGTGTGCTCTGCAAGCACACATTTGTTTTTATTAACTGTATTGTGGCTGTTCCTAATGCTAGGCTGTGTTTTACACATCTCTGATCAACAGTGTGTCTCTCTTCTTGGCCCCTTCTGAATGGCCACATCTTTTTTCATGTCCCATTACAGTGCCTCAAAATCGATGCACGAGTCCATCTGGGATCTTGCTGGGCTGAGGGAACTAGGAGGATTCTTTCTTGTGTTTTTCAGTCTGTTCTTCTAGTGGCTACAGCCATTTCGACAGCTAAGTAACATTTAGTTTTCAGCTAAGAATGCTTCTTCAGGAATCAGTGCTGTTGTAGTACATTCCTTTTATCTTCCAGTGTTTGTACTATTTACTGGTATCAAATATTTTGATTTGGCAGGTAAATTGTTGCAAAAGCAGCCATCTTTTATTTCTTCTATAAATTCTATATTATTTTTTTCTCATCCACCTGGTGAAAATTATTTTGTTACCATACTGTAAATGTATTTCAACGCAAATGTATTTACTTCTGCAGTAAGTAAGGAAAATCCAACCACTTTGGTATACTGCTAAAACATTGCTGAGGCATTACCTATAGCATCAACTGCTTGCTTGTACCTGAACTGCAAAGTTTATCACTGTGGGGTTTTGTCTCTGAGAGGAAAGAAAAGAGATTTGTAATATCTAAGAGGATGATACTGTCTTTTAATTAAGTCTCACATAAAATATTTCTCACCCAGATATCAGCTTTTGATATCAGTGCACTGAGTCAGTGGTTTGAAAATAAATATAACTGACCTATACGAAACTCAACAGAGCTAATAAAATAGACTAATAATAGACTAATAAGCATAATTAGTTTGTTTTAGTTTAGTAATTTAAAGTTTGTTCTGTAAAAGGCTTTATTCAACCTGTAACTCCTCTCTTTGATGTGTCTTTTGCTTAGTGTGATCCTGCATTAAGCACTCAGATTATCCATATAGTGGAAAGATTAGAAGTTTAAAAAGGCAGCCACCATGCCCAACTGGAAGATGACCTGTGCTAGACAGATCCTGAAAAAGATGGAGGTAAAGCCTCTCCATCAATGAAAGTAGCTACCTGCTGGGAGGAGCCCAAGCATGTAAATAAATCATAAAATATCCTGAACTGGAAGAGACCTACAAGGATCATTGAGTCCAATGTCTGGCTCCACACAGGCCATGTATGTTTCAGACTCTTCCATAAACCCACTTTGTTTGCCAAGTTAGATGTATTTCACTTCCCACATAATAAGACGAAGTTGGATGAGGCCCTGGGCATCCTCATCTAATGGGTTGCAGCCCTGCCCGTGGCAGGGAAACTGGAACTGAATGATCCTTAAGGTCCCTTCTGCCCCAAGTTACCCTATGGTTCTGTGATGATGTACTGCCTCTTTTGCTTAGAAATCAAGAGGTAGTAACATCTGAGAGATCAAAGCAGTTTCTTTCTTAGCAAGGGCTTGAAGCAACATCTCTGTGTCTCAGCAGAATGCAACCAACCAACCACCAATCTGGGCAGTAATTTTAAGCAGAGACTCTCAGTGTTCTCTGATGAAATTGTTTCATGTTGCATAAAGAAAATCTTCCATAGGCTAGTAAGTAACAGAAAACCTGAGTCTTGGTTCGCACTTCAGTGAATGCCACTTCTGTATTGAAGGGTGCAGCAGTTGGTAGGCTCCAGGTGGTTGGCAGTTTTGGACTTTAAGATCCCAGCTATCAACTGGCACTCATAGGACCTCTGTGGTAACTTGGGACAGTAGTTGCTCCAGGAGGCAGGGAGGTGCTTGAGTATTGGATTGTTGCTTGTCATTCTACTATGAATCACCTTGACATCCTCAATTCCACTTGAAATAGGTGGATGCTCCTCCCCCTGAGTGATACAGAGGGCTGGCAGCATGGGGTATTTGCAGCACATCCTCCTCTGCTTTTTGAAACACAAACAAACAAACAAAAAAACAGTTATTGACTTCAGTTGCATCAAGTGAAGAACTTATCATTAATGTCTATTTATCTCATGTACATCTGTCTTTTTGCAAATAACAAAATCAAAAGGAATTTGTTTCCCTTTCTAAGAAGGAATCATAGAACGGCCTGGGTTGAAAAGACCACAATGATCAAGTTTCAACCCCCCTGATATGTGCAGAATCACCAACCACCAGACCAGGCTGCCCAGAGCCCTGAATGCTTCCAGGGATGGGGCATCCACAACCTCCTTGGGCAACTTATTCCAGTGCATCACCACCCTCTGTGTGAAGAACTTCCTCCTAATATCTCAGCCAATATCGTGGTATTGATAAAAAGCTGGTTGTTTTAACTCTGAAAGAATTAAAATATATCTTGTAGTGAAGGGATAGCCTAAAGAAAGTAACTGATCAAACTGGTGTATGATATGGTGGATGTGTGGTGTTTGACCACCCTCACAGCAGAAGAGGGTATTCAGTTTGTGCCCGTTGCTTCTTGTGTTTTCTGAGTGAACTGCTTGTGAAAAGTGAGGCAAAGGAGGAAGTTATATCATTTTCACGAACTGAGTTGCGTTTTCTGGAAAAACTGATAAAATTAGACTCCTTCCTCTCTGCAAGAAGCTGCAGCATGTTGTTCTGGAGGCGTACAGTCTTGGTGCAGGATAAATTGAGATTTGTCCCCTGATGCATTGCTTGTGGCCCACGAGGTGAGATTTTGTTGTGGGAAATACCTACTATTGAAGGACACTACAGCCAAAAATAAAAAAGAATGAGGAGGAATAATGCCTAGCAAAACACTAGGTCGTGCAAACTAGAGAGCTACAGCCTGCAGCCTTCAGGTTACTGCCTCGGTACCATCTGTACTGTGAGTCAAAGGGTGGCAGCTGCCCTGTGTGCTCCACTGGTAGCCAAGGGCCTGGTGACACAGAGGCGAGGGACGTGCCGTTACCAACTGAACCCGATCTGCATGTCTAAACTACTTGAACTTGTGCAACTCTAGGTACATTGTTCTTACATATAACATTTTCCTTCTTTCAATACTGTTTATGCTGCAAACAGTTCTAATAATTCAAAACAGTGACCTGCTTTCGCCAGTGAGCTGTAACTGAGACCGAGTAATCCCAGGTGGGGCAATGAGATAAGCTCACAGTTGTGTTTTGCTTTTCATAGATTCGTTCTGGATTTTTCTTATGGTGGACTCCGCAGTTTTCTTCTTGCTGAGACAGCACTTCAGCAAAGTTGTGCATGTGTGTGTCCTACTGTTCAGAGACAAGCAATAGAAGTCAGTGCTTTTAGTCATGCTTGTATCTATGCCCCTCATTCTTTAGTAAAAGGTAATGTCATCTC